GTCAAGAAGAAGCTGAGTGTGCTGGTATATGCCTTTAATCCTAGTACCTGGGAGTCAGAGGCAGGCGGATCTCTGGGAGTTCAAGGCCAGCCTGATCTCCATAGTGAATCCAGGCCAGCTGTGACTACAGGGAGGCCCTGTCTCAAAAAGCCCCCCCCCCCCAAAAAGGAACAAAAAAAGAAGAAAAACAGATTTGTATTTAACTATTTAGTAGCATTTTTAAATTGTCCATAAACTTAGAGCTAGAAAGATGGTTCAATGAGTAAAGCACTTGCTGTTTGGAGCTGGAACTCAGAACCCATATAAAATCTGAACACAGTAGTAGTACAGTGCATGTGTCTATAATCTCAGTGCCTTTTTTTTTTTTTTTGTCTTTTTGAGACAGGGTCTCCCTGTAGTCCCAGATGACCTAGAACTTACTATGTAGACCAGGCTGGCCTCGAACTCACAGAGATCCACTTGCCTCTGCCTCCCAAGTGCTGGGATTAAAGGAGTGCACCACCATGCCCAGCAATCCCAGTACTCCATAAGGAAATGGATGGTAGAGAAAGGAGAATTTCTGGAAGCTTGTGGGCTTTAGCAGCACACAACAAAGAGACCATATGTCAAACAAGGTGGATGGCAAGGACCAACACCCCAATACCCAAGACTGTCCTCCAACCTCCACTATGCATGCAATAAAATGTGTACACCTGCACTCACACATATGAATGCATGCACATGCATACAAGATTTAAAAAACAAAACAAACAACTGTCCAAGAGCTGGAGAGATAGCTTAGTGGTTAAGAGTCTTTGCTACTCTTCTAAAGGACCCAAGTTCAGATCCCAGTACCATGTCAGGCAGCTTACAACAGTGTGGTGCTGCATTGCTGCTGAGCCTCCAGGTGGGCTGTGAGACCTGGTAACTCAATAGACAGCTTCCCTCTCCTCCCCAGGAACTGTTAGAATAGCTCCAAAGTGGCTGGCCTACTCTACAGCATGCTGAGATGTTTGCTCCTCCTGGTGACTCTGAAACTATGGCCAAATGTGAACCAGTCACAGACTGTGGGACACCTATGAACTGACTGAAAGAAATCAACCCAAAAGCTAGACTATCCTCTTTGGCAGTTTTGAAAACTAAGACAAGCATCTTCCCCCATTTCCCCTTGTCACAGTGGTATAAAAGGAGTGAACAGGGCAGGAAACGGTGGCTTTTTCTTTTCCAGAACAAAGCATTTGTTTCTATACTCATCCGCTATAAAAATGACTGATGAATATAGAGAAACACAGAGTAGCTGATAACGAATAGAATATTCTTACAAAGCACTGAACTATGGCTGAAACACTGAAAAAAAAAAAAAAAAACCAGCAGGGCTTGGTAGCACACGTTGTTAAGCCCAGCACTTGGGAGGCAGGGGTGGGTACATCTTCGTGTTATTAAGGCCAGCCTGGGATGGTCTCATAGCAAGTTTCAGGACAGCTGGGACTACAGGGAGACCCTGTCTCAAAAATACCAATAAAAACAAATACAAAATACCATTGTGCCAATGTCTCACCCTCCCTTTCCCAACGAATGATATGAGTTAAGCTGAAAGAAGGGCAGACCATGCAAAAAATATTCACAGGTTTAATGCAATGGATTCCTGATTTTAATGGAGTAGCATGAAGGTAGCAATCAAAAACAGCTCTTGCAGTCTAATATTTTGAAATCCACACCCTTTCACCTTGCATGTGTGGAAGAAGAAAGAGCAGAAGAGAAAATCACTTCCACCTGGACCACTGCTTTTCTTTATCTGTTAAAGGCACATATATCACCCCCATCAGAGGCTTCATTTTGACACTGCCATCTTGTAGCTTGTCATACTGCTCCAACATTTGGTTTCCACCTGCCGGACCAACTGGCAATATCAATCTTCCACCAGGCTTTAACTGGTCTATTAGCTAAAAGAAAAAAGAAAATCCCCACATACACGGCAAGTTAAAGGTTTTACATATTAACAGTAATCTGACAGCACTGTAAAGAATGCTCAGTGTCCATGGGCAGAAGGCAGAAAGGCACTTCATTTAGTCACTTCTCAGTATCCCTGGGGATTGGTTCCAGGATCCCTCAAGGATAACAAAATCCACAGTAGCTCAAGTCTCTTACAAAAATGGTATGGTATTTCCATATAGCATATTACACATCTGCTCACACACTGTAAATCACCTCTAGGCTATTTGTAATATCTAATAGAAGGCCTAAGCAGTCCTCCATTTGTGCAAATTCAGCACTATATTTAGTGTACAACAAATTCAAATTTTGCTTTTAGAGCTTTCTGGATTTTTTCACAAATATTTCTCATACACTGTTGGTTGAATGTAGAGCCTGCCAACACAGAGGGCAGCTGTAAAGACTTTGAGTGCGACCTTATTCATCAACTCCCCACTTAATTGCCTCTGCCTCCCCTGCTAAACTAATGCTTCTGAGAGGACTGGAACTGTGTCTTATGCTATGAGCATCTTACTGAGTACTTGGTACAACTACAGTTCAACAAGTTTGGACAGAACCAGTTGATATAGAGAATTCTACTGCCTGTTTATTGTGTTCCAGAGCTTTGCCACCTGGAAGGGAAAGGGGCAATAGAAAAGGAAAAGTATAGAAAATGAGCAAGAAACTGCTATCCTGTCACTGTCAAATCTAGGGTGTCACTGAAACAATGACAAGGGAACCCTAATGACATGACTGGATTTAGGATTACTGGAACCAGGAGGAAAGCAGGGAGGGCTGGATTCCTACAGTGTTAGAATGAGGACATTCCTATGAATGCAGAACCAAGACTACTCAGTGAAAGTCCTTCCAGTCACGAAATGTTTGGATCCTGTTACCATTTGAATATAGCCTTATATTTTGCCACTATTAAAAAACAACAAGAGGGGATGGAGAGAAGGCTCAGCAGTTAAGAACACTGGCTGTTCTTGCAGAAGACCTGGGTTCGAATCCCAGCACCCACACAGTAGCTAACAACTGTCCATAACTCCAGTTCCAGGGGATCCAACAGCCTCTTCTGTCCTCCGCTGGCATTGCACAACATGGGTGCACTTACGTACATGCTGGTAATACACTCACACATTAAAAAACAAACAAAAAAAAAAAAAAAAACAAGAAAGAAACCTGACTTGAGACAGTATTACTCCAGGGAAGGTCACCTTCAATTAATATTTGGTCACCAGGTCTTATTTTTTTCATTTTAATTTTTGTCAGCATAATACTTACAAATACTGAGTTGTCCTTGAGTTAGTTTTCTACACTCTAATACTGATAATGAAAAACAACAGGCCTCCTCTTCTCCCAATCTTGCTCTCCATATCCAGTCATTTATCGGTATGTCTCCATAGTATTATTACCTTTATATTTCAAATTGGATGCTAGATAAGAATATGCAGTCTACTTCTTTGCCCAGGTCAACCAATCACAATTTTTATTAAAACCATGTACAGATGAGACGGGGTCATTTAGGGTGGTATGGCTGTACACTAAAATCATATTCAGTTAAGACTATATGGTCCTTACTACTGAGCTAAGAAGTATCTAATGACTCTTTAAGATTCAGTTCAAGTTTCATCATTACATGACATATCCTGACTACTTTTCTAATATACAGCACATACTAATTATATGCAATCATAGTATTAACTAAAACGCATGAAAGTCTAAATATATTCTGAACATCATCTGGAAATCATCTTTGCATGAATCTTTTGAGTTTTAATTGACTAAATGCACAAATACAAAAAAATAAAAATCCCGACTCACTGCTTGGGGCACAACTGGGGCAGCAGCTCCTACATGAATGGCGTCATAAGGGGCTTCTTCAGCATATCCCATTCTTCCATCGCCCACTGAAAAAAAGAAGTTATACTTTGAAAACCTGTGCAGATTAAATTTAGTGTGAAGAATGATAAAAAAAAAAGAGGGTTGAAATGAGAAAAGGATAGATTTTCAAGAAAGTGATACTGCAACAAATACTTATAATGGCAGAAGACATGACTGAATTCTATTTTTGCACAAACACAGAAATTAATGTCAGCAAGATCAAAGACCTAAACATGAAAAGATAACGTAAAGAAGAAATAACAGGGCTAGGGAGATGGCCCAGTGGTTAAAATGCCTGCTGCACAAACAAGAAGACCAGAATTCAAATCTCCAGAACCCACATGAGTGCTGAGCATGTGTGATAGCCTGCCTGCCTGTGGATGTAGCCTCAGAAGGAAGAGACAGGATCCCTGGAACAAGCTAGCTAGAAAGACTAGTTGTATTGCCAAGCTCTAGGTTTGACTGAGAGACCCTGTCTCAAAGAATTAAGGTAGAAGAGCAACTGAGGAAGATTCACAAGATCAACCTTGGGTTTCCACACACGGACACTCATGTGCACACACTCATGCCCACCAATGTGAACACGCATATGTACACTCACCCATACCACACACACAGAGAGAGTAGGATAAAAAGAAGAAAAAGAGAGAAAAAAAAGAGAAATAATATAAGGGCAGGGAATACAGCTCAACAGTTGAATACATGCCTAACCTACATAAGACCCTGAGTTCAATCCCCAATATGAAAGGGGGGGGGATGGAGAGAGGAAGAGGGGAAGAGGCAGAAGGAGAGAGAGAGAGAGAGGGAGGGAGGGAGGGAGGAAGAAGAGGGAAAGAGAGAGAGAGACTTTCATGACTTTTATGATATCCTTAAACAAGTAGAAGGCATTGTAGGAAGAATGGTAAATCTACCAATAAGAATTTCTATTTCCAGGCCAGGTATGGTGGCTCATGCCTTTAATCCCAGCACTCGGGAGGCAGAGGCAGGCAGATCTCTGTGAGTTCCAGGCCAGCTGGGGCTACAGGGAGACCCTGTCTCAAAATACCAAAAATAACAACAAAAAAAGAATTTCTATTTCCCAAAGAGCTGGATGGGGACATGGGTCAGTGGTACAGCACATACCTAGCATGTGCAAGGCTATGGGTTTGATCAATAGTAGTGCCAAAAGGGGGGAGGGGTAATAAAGTGAAAATGCATACCACCAAGGGGTGAAGAAATTTATAGCATGTATAAAGCAACAGAAGGCTAATCTCTACAATACCTACAAATCAAATATGTGTGTATGTGTCACACACACACACACACGCAACCCAGTATCTGAACAGGCACTTCACAAAAAGGGGAAATCCCTAGTTCTTGGCTCTAAATACTGTTCAGCTTGTATACAGAACTTCTGAAAATAAGACTTCTCTTGAAAAGACATTTTAAATTTCTGATACTCACCAACTAGTTGCACTCTCCCTGAAGACAGAAGCACTGGATCGTCCTTTCTAACATTATTTATTGAGTCATCTACCAGCTCTTTAATGTGGTCAATTCCTATGACTTTTCCACTGTGTCCAACCTGGAAAACAGAAAAGAATTCAATAGTCCATTGAGCTAAATTTGTTTTTCTGAAGTGTCATTAAAAATGCTTCCTTTTAATCCCATCATTCAGGAGGCAGAGGCAGGGGGATCTCTGTGAGTTCGAGGCCAGCCTGGTCTACATAATGAGTTCCAGCCAGCTGGTGCTACTGGGAGACCCTGTCTTAAAAAGACCAAAAAAAAAAAAAAAATCTTCCTTAATTAAAGTCATATTCTGCCATAGGAAATTAAAAATAAACAGTATAAGCCTTGAATATAAACTCTCAGGGTTTTTTGTTGTTGTTGTTGTTATTGTTTATTTGTCTTTTTGAGACAGGTTTCCCAGTATCCTCAGCTGGTCTGGATCTTGCCATGTAAACCAGGCTGGCCTCGAACTCACAGAGATCCTAGTGCTGGGACGAAAGGTGTGCACCACCACACCTGGCTAACTCTCAGTTTTTCATAATTACCACATACAAATTTTTAAATTATTGAATTATTATAGCAATTATAAAGTTAAAATAAATTACAAAACATTATAATACTGGGGATGGAGAGAGGGCTCAGTGGTTAAGAACACTTGTTGCTCTTGAAGAGGACCCTGCTTTGATTCCCAGCACCCACATGGTGGCTAACAACTGTCCATAATTCCAGTTCCTAGGGATCAGATACCCTCTCTGACCTCATGGACACTGCACAACACAGGTGCACTTGCATACATGCAGGTAATACACTCATACACATAAAACAAAACTAAATTAATTTGGGGGGGCCTAGAGAGATGGCTCAGTGGTTAAGAGCACTGACTGCTCTTACAGAGGACCTGGGTTCAATTCCCAGCACCCACAAGATGGCTATGAACTGTCCTTGACTCCAGTTCCAGGGAAATCCGACGCCCTCTTTTGACCTCCGAGGCACTGCATGTCACGGGTGCACTCACATACATGCAGGCAATACACACATACACATAAAATAAAAATAATAAATAAAATGTTTTTTAAAAAATTAAATTTTTATTTATCTTTTAATAATTTATTGAGAATTTCATTCATGCATATAAGGTGTTTTGATCAAATCCATGCCCACTCCCTCCCCTCCAACTCATATCTTCAAATTTTTTAAAAATTACAATACCAATAAAAATATATCTTAGAGTTACAATGTTTAATCCTGAACTCTGAAATAGGATTTAACTACCAATATTTAATGATAGTATAATTTTTATAAGCCAGGCATGGTGGCCCATGCCTTTAATCCCAGCACTTGGGGAGGCAGAGGCAGGTGACTCTCTGTAAGTTCTAGGCCAGCTGGGGCTACAAGGAGACCCTGTCTCAAAAAGATCAAAAAAAATTTTTTTAATAAACTCAATCTTAAAGTATAAATTTAAACATTAAAATGTTACGTAAATAATTTTATGAAACCAGGCATCATGGCACTTACCTATAATCCCAGAACTTGTAGGGCTGAGGCAGGAGGATGTCAAGTCCAAGGCTATGCTGAGCTAACTAGTGAATTCAAGGGCAGCCTGGCCTACACTGTGAGATCCCGGTCCAAAAAACAAAAACAAAAAAATTGATGATGTGGGATTCCTGTACCAATTGTATTGCTTTTAGTGGAAAAGATGAAAATATACAATTACATAAAAAGGATTTAAGTATCAATACTAATTGCAAAAATTTTACCTGAAAAAGGCCCTGAACAAACTATCTGGATTCCTATCTGAATTTTATTACTCACTTTACATTAAAGCCTTAGGCAAGTTAACCTCTCAGACTCTAAATTAGGTTCCTCAACTGTAAAATAATTAGAAAAGGGGTATATGCCAGATAGAAGATATGAGAGGCTCTCAGAACACTGATAAGCATTAGGTAAATGTGTGAAAAATACTAGCATCAATTCAAAAAGAACTCACAAACGTAATGATCTAAAATTTTTTATTACATTTTTTTGGGGGGAAGCACATGCCATGGCACACATGTGGAGGTCAGAGGACAACTTAAGGGAATTGGTTCTTTCTTTACACCACGTGGATGCCAGGGATGGAACTCAAGATGTTAGGCTTGGCAGCAAGTGCTTTTACCTGCTCAGTCATCGCATTGCCCCGCCCCCCCATGATGTTTTTTTAATATAATGAAATTCCTGTAGCCCCAGATGGCCTAAAACTCACTAGGTAGACCAGGCTAGCCTTGAACTCACAGAGAGCCACCTGCTTCTGCCTTTTAAGTGCTAGGATTAAAGGTGTTACAATCACGCCTGGCTGCTATTTCCAACTTTTTAAAAAAGAATTTCTAATGCCCAGTACTGAGGGGTTGAACTCTACAAACCAACCAAACACCTGAAAAGACGTGACACCTTCCTGTGTGCCAGGCACTACTCTAGATGTTTAAGACACTGCAATTTGTGTGGTGGCACACGTCTTTAATCGCAGCACTCGGGAGGCAGAGGCTGGTGGATCTCTTTGAGTTCCAGGCTAGCTGGGGCTACAGGGAGACCCTGTCTCAAAAAGACCGAAAAAA